TTGCTCATGAAGTTAAAATTTAAATTTATAATTCAGGTATTGAATTAGCGCATAAGCTCACCCTGCTTCGCTGCTAATGACAGCGTGTTACACCTTGGAAAGGGATGTAGGCAACAAGTGGAATTTGAACTCAAAACACAGAATGGTATCCCAAAAATGCACACTGATTTTCCCTCTGAGGGATCAGTCATCACAAGAGAGCATTTCAGAAAGAGGAAGTCACTAAACTCAGTTTGTTATATTCTGCCTTGTTCTTTCCTAGACAAAGTCCAGCTTTCAGTTTTAAAATGTGACTAGCTTTTTGATTTGTGCAGAAATAATGAACGATGTGCAGATTATATTCTACCCACATGCTCACTGAGAAGGGATGATACAATCAGCCCTCTTAGATTACTTGTGTTTACGATCTGTGTGTTTAAGTTAGAAATATTCAGTGCCCACTCAGCACAAGATTTTTAAATATGGATCAAAAACGGGAAGGTATTTCAAAAATCTGTGGGAGCAGTTTTTGGGAAGATTTCCGCAGGACAGAATGCATGGATTCGTATTCAGTGGGGCAAAAGGGTGCTAGAATTGGCTCCTCTGCTTGCACAATCGCCGCACCTGTTTTCACCCTCTGACCAAGCTGCTGCTGCTGCTGATGGTTGTGCAGGCGGGTGGGCGGGCAGCGCGGGATCCTCTGAAATCCTTTTCCCCATCATAAATGCAAACAGACATTTGCACAAAGCAGGCTAATCTGCAATGTGGTTGATTTGCATGTCCAGCCTTTTGTTGTGGCAGAAAAGGAGTTTATTTTTGCACACATAGTCCTTTCCTCCTCCAATTGCAAGAAAGACTGAGATGTTTTCCTGCCCTCCTCCTCCACTACCTAAAAATATATATTTTCACGGTGCTTTGACTTGGAGTGGATGTGACAAGCCTGCTTTTGGGAATAAGATTTACTGCTTACGCCCAGCAAACCCGCCCCCCATCCTGATGAGCTGGTTGCTATAGCAACAACCATCCCCCCAAAAAAGAGTGTTTCAGGCTAGGGTCTCAAGTGACACAGAACTGCTAATTGCATTTTTCTGGAATAAAATTCTGATGAAAAGAATGGCAATTCCCAAGACTGCTGCTTTCAGAAGTCTTTGTGGCTGCACTTTGCATCCACTGCTGCCGTTTTCTTCTAATTGCATCCAGCAGAAATTAGCATTAGCTGTGAGGGCTAAGTTGACTGAACAGCGTCAGCAGTTCAGCTTGGCTGTGATTGTTGGGTGCCAAGAATTTGAAAGGAGGCTGGGGCTTTGCCAGCTGTGATCTGGGAACTTAAAATGGGAGAACTGTGTGGGTGGGGAGGGCAGTTTTCTTTGGGATAATCTGCCTAATTATTGATGTCCCCCACCTGCACTGGCAGCAGATCAGGAGCTCAGGGGACTTGCAGCGGGTCAGCAGGGGTCTCTGGCTTCCAGTCTTTTAACAACAGGGACAGCAACAAATCCCCTTCTCCTAGATAAGCGTGTGCTGCAAGATCAGGGGAGGAAGGCAAGTTCCAGGGCCACCCTGTCCTGTAATTCTTTCTCCACCTTCTTGAGCTGCTGTTCATGGACCTCAGAGATCTAAACCAAAGTGGACCCCTGAAGCCTAAGCTCTGTCCATTCCTGCACCAGGAGGATGGGCTGTGGCAATTGTTCAAGCTTTTGCCCAAAGAACTTCATGCTGGCGCTTCCGCCTTGTGCACAACGTGCGTTATGCCAGCCCGCTGGCGAAAGATGATGATGTGTGTGCAAAATGGATGTCTCACGAATATGCATCTCACTTGGTGCTTAGCTGGAGGCATAGCAGTACCTCTCGGGAAGGAGGGGGCTAGATTTCTATTTATATGCCACCGAGGGACTTTCTGTGTTTGGCATCATAAATGGAAATGTAAAGACATAAACAAATTGGGGGTGGGGTTCCATTCAGTATCTCAGCCTCTGGATCCCAATGAAATAAATTCAGACTTCTGAAGAGCCCTTTCAGGTTTTCTGCTGTCCTTGTTTTTTCTCTTTTCCCTAACACAAACTTGTGGCTGCATTCCAAAGGCCTTTTTCCTCATTCACCTCTGATTCTGACTACTGTGCACTTCTGAGTTCCACAGATGTTCCATTTGTTCATTGCTTTGTGAAGGGCATGGCCTAAAGTACTGCTTATAACAGGAATGAATAAATAAAAGTTGCTGGGGACTTGCTTCTCTTCCCTGCTGGTCTCTCCTCCTCTGACTGCTTTTTGGTTGTCTGTCAGGCTCCACATCTGCTTATGCTCACCCTTCCTCCTCTGCAGAGGAGCCCCTGCTTTCCCTTTTCCGCCGCTGTTCAGCCGCTTACACTGGCATTTTCCATGGTGCGCATGTAAAGGAGTGAGCGATGCCCTGGAACACTTGGAGGAGCTTCTCAGGGGAGGGCCACTGAGCACTGGCCTTGGTTGCCCCCAGGTGTGTTGATGACCTGTGCCTGAAGGCTCACCCTTCTCTGGGCTTGGAGAAACACATGTAGGGTAAGAGATATGTATGCATGTGTGTGTGTTTGTATAAGAATGCCAATTGCTAAGACTTATACATGAACAACAAAAGCGTCCATTCAGTAGTGGCATTTATGCACCGCCGGTCCTGATGTTAAAAGCGTTGCAAGGGCGTCAGTCTATTCTTTCACTGTTGCACTTTCAGTCTTTGAGCTGCCAAAACTATGTGGTGCTGACCACCTGTCATCTTCGGGAAACAAGTCGATCATCTAAAAGAGTGTGTATTTTATAAATATTGAAGAATGCTCCAGTACAAAGTCTGTCTACATGATAACCTGCTTTTCAAAAGAAGCATTTCTTGGCCATTGCCAAACCATACGGCTGAAAGTAGCATCAGCTGCGTGGCAACATCTCCAGCCATTGGCAGACATGGGCCATGTCCCCCTGAGGGGCACGGTGGTGCCCGGTAGACGTGAGGCAAGGGCTTTTTCTGAGTAAGTTGTGCCCTGAGGTTCGAAGCCATTCAGATGCAGGTGCTGAAGCAGGCGGAATGGGACGGTCCAGCTCCCACTTCCACTCCTGCCTAAGATCCCATGCATTGCATGTATTCACCAGCAAATATTTAGAAACATGGACTGTGGCTTGATATAACTGACTGATCTCAGTAAGCATCTCCGGAAGTGAAGGAAAGTGTTGCCATATAGCAGGCAAGTCATGGCAGGCCGAGTCACGGACACAAGTCTCATTTGGCACACAAAGCCAAGAATAGCAAAACCTCATTGGCATCACCTGCTAGTAGTTCCAAGGTAAAAATCAACTCATCTATCCAACTCCACAACAAAATTATTTTCTTCACAATGTTTAAACCTTGGTTTCACCATAGGATCAATTTAGCCTAAGGAAGTGGACCAGAATGTAATTGACATTATACTATACAGTGGTACCTTGGCTCACAAACACCTCAGTTCACAACCAAATTGGGTCATGAACAGAAATTTCTGAAAAATTTTGCCTCAGGTAGCAAACTCCGCATCAGGTGACAGTTGCGATCGTGCCCATCTCCTCCCCCCCAAGCGCACCTGCAATCGAACCCGTCTGTGGCTGCGATTGCGCTCATGCGGGGATGATGGGCACAATCGCAGTCGTGCTGGGGGCAGGGGGGAGATGGCCGTGGTCTTTGTTGTTCTTTGTCACTTTGCTTTCAGATTAACAAAAATAGTTACAGAACAGATTATCCTTATTTACATTGACCCTTACGGGGAAATTTGACTTGGCTCACGACCAATTTGGGTCATGATCAGAGTCCTGGAATGGATTAAGTTCATGAGCCGAGGTGCCACTGTACTGCACGCACCTCTAGCACCTGAAACTTGTGGAAGAAGCTCCCTAATGTGCCAGTAACCCAGTGTGAGCCACTAGGGAAGAGAATCCAGATAGGAAGATTCTAAAACCTATATTTTGTTCAAGAGACAAAAACTTGGCACAAGTCAACAAATAAGCCCAATGAAGGTTGGGGAGCCAAACCCATATTCTTTAACTGGACGTGGCAAACTTTTCAAGGATATTTGTGGCTGGATGAAATTTGTTCGGATGAAGGAGCATGGCTGAACCCTGCAGCCACTGCCCCGTCTGCCAAGTCATTGATCATTGCCCACCTTCAGATAATGGGATTTGCCAGATTGCAGGTTATTTTTATTACTGAAAAGCCCGTGTTTCGAAAGGCCTGCAAGGAGGAATTATCTTTAAGCTAAATTGGGACTAGTAACTGGGGACAGCTGTTCAAAGGCTTTGAGGGGCCTTGGACAAACCTTTCATAGGCATTAGTACCTCATTTTAAAGCAGATATGGACAACCCATCTCACAATGCTGTTGTGGAAGACAAAAGTGACCCACACACATTTCATGCTTCATTTGGTTGAAGAAACTTATGTTGCCTTCAGACTTGGAAAGTCCTAATGGTGATTTAGAGGGATTTATATGAAATTAAGTTTGTAAAAAATCAGGCATCAGTAAAACAGTTCAAACAAAGCAGCAGAAAATGACCCCATAAAACACTGAAAGAGTGCCTTAAAAAAGAAATTTAAAGACAGATTTAAAAGGACATTAAAATTCAGTGGATTTTGCCTGACATCTAAAAGATCCCAGGTGGCATCAATAGCAGTGGTATGTTATGTGGGGCCATATGGCAATGAAAGGCCCATCCCCATGACAATTGAATGCAATTTAATTGAAATGTAAGCATATGTGAAATGAACATAGTGCCCATTCATAACATTGGAAGTTGGTAATTAATAGTGCAATTATCCTTCCATGCTTCAGTGTAGCCAGTTAAGCATGACTGAGATGCAAAGTTTGGGTGCCCACCCAGAGAGTGTCCTTCGCTGTCAAATCCCACCTGATTTGTGAAGGCACCTGGAGAAAGGCCACTTTTGATGTACTGGTGTTCAGCATTGATTCCTGAGTTCCTGCATCCCAGGCTGTTTTCTGTGCTGCCCTCATTTACAGATTTTTCTTCCTCCCAAAAGGTGTGAAGAGGGTGACAAACAAGGCTACACTGTGGTATGTGCCCCTTTCTCTCCACAACGTGCACAAAGTTTTGGAAGTGCCCCCTATTCAGGTAGGTTGTGCCCAAACACTGATGGCTGAGAATTTTTAGGGAGAAGGAGGGGATGCATGAAAGTCCTGACATGGTGGTGATCCTACAGACAAAACGCATGTGCATGTTTATGAATATTTGCTTAATTGCATATACATGGTAAACAGTCTGAGCAGCTCTGATGAGAAAAGGGGTTTGGGAGTAGAGGGTATGTCTGTGCGCTTATCTCTTTGCAGCGAACAATTTATCCTTGCCACAGGTTCATTGGCACATTCCCAAGCGCATGAAGCCGGGTGCTGACTCTGCTGCCTAAGAACCAGTGCTTACTTTTGGCTTTCCTGACTTACACCTGGTCAGGTCCTGGTTCCTTTTCAATCAGGGGACCAATTTGGAATTTTGATAGGAGTGTCATGAACACTCATAGAAACACAGAAACAGAGTGAGTCAGAAGGGACCTCCCAGGCCATCTAGTCTGACCCCCAGCTCTAGCCGGCTCCGCTCATGACATGCCCACCATGAGCATGTCCAGCCTATCTTTGAACACCCTCACTGATGAGGCTTCAACCACCTCCTGTGGAAGCCCATTCCACACCCTCGGGGTCCTAACTGTCAGGAACTACTTCCTGGCATCCAAATGGAACCTTGGTTCCCTGAGCTTTGCTCCGTTGGAGCGTGTTCTGCCTTACTCTGCAGGAGAGAACAGGTCTCTACCCACCTCCATGTGACATCCCCTCACATAGCTGTATGTCGCCTACAGATCCCCTCGGAGTCTCCTCTTCACTAGGCTGAAGAGACCCAGTTCCCTCAGTCTCACCTCATACGGCATCCCCTGCAAACCGGCCACTAACCTTGTGGCCCTGTGCTGCAGTGTCTCTAACTTGGCTATACCCTTCCTGTAATGAGGGGCCCAAAACTGAACACAATACTCCAGTTTTGGGCACACCAGAGTTGTATAGAGTGGCAGTAATACCTCTCTCGATCTAGAAGCCACGCTTCTGGCTGTGCAGCCAAGGGTGGCGTTTACCCTCTTGACCACCTCATCACACTGCTGACTCATGTTCAGCCTGCAGTCGACCAGCACCCCGAGGTCCCTTTCACAAGTGCTGCTCTCCAGCCACTTGTTCCCTAACCTGTACTTATGACACCTATTCCTATGCCCCAAGTGCAAGACCTTGCACTTATCCACATTGAACGCCATCCTGTTGTCTCCTGCCCACTTCCATAGTCTGTCCAGACCCTTTTGGATCTGGAGTACGTGCTCCTCAGTTGTGGCCACTGCTCCAGTTTTACTATCATCTGCGAATTTGATCAGCAGACTGCTCACCCCTCCTTCCATGTTGTTGATGAAAAGATTGAACAGGATCGGCCCCAGGACAGAGCCCTGGGGGACCCCGCTTGTCACTGATGATCCTGACAATTCCCCACTAATGGTTACCCTCTGCTTTTGGTCAGTCAACCATGCCCTAATCCACCGGACAGTGCTTTGGTGTATCCTGAAACTCCTCAGTTTCTCCACCAGGATATCATGGGGCACTTTGTCAAAGGCCTTGCTGAAATCCAGGTATACCACATCCACTGCATCCCCTCCATCTAGCCATCTCGAAACCTTGTCATAGAATTCCACAAGGCCTGCCTGGCAGGACCTGTTTTTGCGGAAGCCGTGTTGTGTGGCTGCCACCCTCCTTTCCCTATCTAGCATCACTAGATCTCTCTCTATTATGAGCCTTTCCATTGTTTTTCCTACAATGGAGTTAAGGCTAACTGGTCTGTAATTCCCCATGTCCCTTCTACTATTCTTTTTGAAAATTGGAACCACTGATGCCACCCTCCAGTCCTCTGGAACTTCACTCGTTCTCCAGGAGACCTCAAAAATGGAGGCCAGCGGGCGTGAGAGAACCCCTGCCAACTCTCTAAGTACTCTCGGGTGTAACCCCTCAGGGCCTGGCGCCTTTGTAACGTCCAGTGCGCTGAGGAGCCCCTCGACTTCTAGGGGGGTGACTCTCTTCTGTGCCTCTAAGTCCCCGGCCGCTCTTGCAGGGCAGCTTGCCTATTCTGAACAGGGCTTTCATCGTGGGCATGGCTGGTCGCAGAACATTCCATTGCCAGAAGCCAGACTGGTGAGACTAGGAGAAAAGTGACTTCCCTAGGAACTTATGTGTGAGACCAGGGTGGGATCTTAAACAGGAAGCTGCTCTTTTGTGCCCAAATAAGAGCACACTGGCTGGTGGCGCAGTGCTTTGCAGCAAGCCCAGGGGAGCACAGTGCCAGCCCATGCCCCCACCGTGCTGAAGGCTCCATCCCTGCTTCAGCAAAGGGTGCCGCAGAGCCTTCCGGGATGCTTCCTGTTTGTAGGCCTTCCTTTCCCCATCTCTTACTTCTGTGCTTCTGTTCGGAGCTCCTCCACTCTCACGTTGCCCATGGATCCCTAAAAAGCAGGAGTCAGGCCTGTGGGTTACGGTTCCCATTTGGACAACTGAGGATGCCAGATTTTGCCACCATCCCACCGTCTGCAGCTGCGGCCACACAGAGAGCCGCTTCCGTGCCAGCCACTGTTTTTTCCCTGGCGACTCTCTCCGCCAGTGTCGTGTGCAATTTCAATGCATCGTCCAGGTCATTTGCCCTCGCTCGCATTTCTCTGGGCCTTACCTTGGGTGATCCGCTCTTCTAGTATAATGCTGGCATTCACTGCCAAGGGGAAGTGTCTGTCTGCTCCAGTGGTTGTGCAGAAAAGCCCATTCAGGGGTGTGCTCCAGCTGATGCCCCCCTCCCCCCCCGTCACTGGTGGAGCCTCGTGGCAGTGCAACCAGTGGTGCTGTCAACCAGGCAGCGCTCTTTGGCCCTCCCTGCGACTTGGCTCCACATCTGGGCTGAACATCTGGTCTTTGTCTTTCCTGTCAGTTTGCAAGGAAGGAGCAGGAGGAGGAAGGGCGAAGGCGCTATGAGGAGCAAAAGCTGGAACGGCTGGAAACCAAGGAGAGAAATGGGGACATCATCCAGCCCGTCATCAACCCAGGTAAAAGGCATGCCTGCATCAGGCAGACCCCTCTGGATCGAGCTGGGCTTAATTCCTGATGAATCCCCGTGGGGCTGCAGAAGCCAGGCACTGTAAATTTGGGGCAGCTGTTCTCATGAGTAATCAGTATTGCTATTTAATTCCCAGCTGGGTAGCAATTAAAAACACACAACATTTCATCATGAGCCACATTCATAGAATAGAATCATAGTGTACTGGAGCTGGACGGGACCGTGGAGGCCCTCGGGTCCAACCCCTGCTGTTGCAGGACACCAGTTTGCACCGTCCCAGTGTCTCCCGCTGCACTGTTAATTGCAGTCCTTCCACGGATGCCCCATGGAGTGAGAGGGCTTGCAGGGGAGGGGAGGGGAGGGGAGGAGGGCCTCCTGTGGCGCCCCTTCAGTGGGTGTGGGCTGACGCAGCCACCCGCGTGGAGGGTGGGGTGCGAGCTGGGAAGGAGTGTCCTCTTGGCAGAAGACCCAAGTGAGTCACTGGGCTGCAGGGAGGAGGCTGTATGAAGCCTGTGCATCAGAGCCGGTGGATGCGTCCTGGTTGGGACGTAGGCCACGGTCTGACCTGCTTTCTAGGTTGCAGAAGCCTAGAAGAGTTGGGGCATCGGCTCATTCAGGACTCTTAGGTTAAAGCATCTCTGAAAGATGGTTGTCCAGCTGCATCTTAAAACATGAGGCTAAGGGGCTTGAGGGGATTGCTCATCTCAGCTGCTTCTTTTTTACAGGCTTATTCTTCACTGTTTGTCTTAGCTATTTTTAATTGTTTATGTTTCTTTTGATAAGATGCCATGCCATTTTATTGTATATTACTGCATTGCTGTCATGTACTGTTGCAAACCACCCAGAAGGTTTTGGCTGTTGGGCAGTATAGAAATGCAAGGGTTGCTGTCATTGTCATCTGAATGCCTCCAGTGCGAGAGAGTCCACAGGCTCCCTGGGCAAGTCCCCTAGGCTGAGCTAGACCCACTCGAGGCTGGTTTTGGAATGCAACTTTCCCCTCCATTTTAGGTTCTCTGTCTTGTTAGTCCATGGATGGATTTCCTTCTGATTTGACACTCCTTCTTGCAGGCGTGGCTGCCCAGATGATTCGCCCCTTTCCCACTTGTGGGGCTGCTTCACAGGCAGAAGTGGGGAGGACAGTCAGCTGCATGGCCCAGCTGCTGCCCCGCAGAGGAACTCTGGGGCAGGAAGTGGGAAGAGCTGGAGTGCCTCTGACGCTTACTTCAAACTGGGGCAGCTGCTCACATTGCTGTTTGGCTAACCACTCAGCAAGAGCAGCAGCTGTTGCCCTTCCCCTGCCCCCTTCTTGTTCTGGGTTGTGGGTTGGGTTGCCATCATTTGGACAACACAACAAACCATCGTGGTAGGGCGAAGGCTTAGAACAGACGGTGGGATAGTTTCTTCCTTTTCGTTTTTTGACTCTTACATGAAGGTTAAGGGACCAGATATAGACTAGGTTTGGAGAACACAACAAGCAACCATTAATTCTTCATTCCTGGTCATGCAAATCCAGTATATATCTGCTCCTATAACTTGAGGTAAGGGGCAAAGCATAAAAAGGAAAAAAATCTGAATAATAATAATCATGGAGTTTTCATAGAAACATTGAATCATACAGTAGTGGAGTTGGAAGGGGCCATTGGATCCAACCCCCAGTTCAGTGCAGGACTCCAAGGAAAACCTTCCCTTGCAGTTGGCTGTCCAGCCACAACTTGAATGCCTTCAGGGTGGGAGAACCTGCAATCTCTCAGAGTAATTGGTTCTATTGTTGTAGGGCTCTATCATTTATTTATTTATTTAAAGCATTTTTATGCCACCCCCATTGCAACAAGCCTCGGGGCAGCTTACAAATTTAACAGTTAGGATTTTCAGCTGGAACAAGGCTTCCTGTAATTTGCCTAGTTCTTTCAATCTCTCCTCGCAGGGTTTTGGTCCCAGTCACTAGATCACCCTAACCCTAACCCTGTCCAGCTTGTCTGCATCTTTCTTAAACGCTGGTGTCAAGAACTGAGTGCAGCACTCCAGAGGAGGCCTAGCAGTGCTGAGGAAAGGGGGACTGGTACTTCACATGATTTAGAGGTGCTGCTTTTGATAATGCAGCCCAAAATAGCATTTGCCCTTTTTGCAGTCACATCACATTGTTGAGTCATACTCCGCTTGTGCTCTGCACCAAGTCCATGATCCTTCTCACTTGCAGTTTTGTTGAGTCAGGTATCTCCCATCTTGTAACTATGCCTTTGGCTCACTTTTCCTTGGTGTTGAACTTGGCATTTGTCCCTGCTGAATTTCATTCTGTTGTTTTTAGCCCAGTGCTCCAACCTATCAAGATCACCTTGATTCTTGCTTCTGTTTTCCAGGATATCAGCTCTTCCACCCATTTTTTTGTCATCTGCAAATGAGATAATTGTTTCCTGCACTTCCTCGTCCAAGTCATTAATGAAAATGTTGAAGCACAGTGGGCCCAGAACTGAGCCCTGTGGTACCCCACTTGTTACTTCTCTCCAATTTGAGAAGGAGCCATTGATGAAAACTCTTTGAGCCCAGTTTTGTAGCCAACTTATTATTATTATCCACTTATTATTGTTCCATCTAGCCTACTCTTCGTTTTCTAATTAGGAAATAATGGGGCCCTTTGTCACAAACTTTGCTGAAGACAAGATATATTATGTCCACGGCATTCCCACAGTCCATTTAGAGAGGTTAACCAATCACAATCAGCTTAGTCTGGCAGTATTTGTTCTTGAAAAATCCATGTTGGCATCTATAATAATCACTGCATTGTTGTCAAGGTGTTTGTAGATGAACTGCTTTCTAATCTCCATAATTTCCCCAAGGTTTGATGTTAGACTGACTGTTCTGTAGTTCTCAGGTTCTTGTTTTTTCCCCATTCTCGAAGCAGGGGCAACATTTGCTCTTCTGCAGTCCTCTGGCACTTCCCCGTCCTCCATGATTTCTCCAAGAGAATGGAGCGTGATCTGAGCATTCTTCTGCCAGCTCCTTTATCAATCTAGGGGGGAGCTCATCATTCTTCAGCTTGTACCTCCCCTTCATCAGGCAGGTTGTGTTTGTTCTTCTGGGTGAAGACTGAGCCAAAGTAGGAGCTGAGCACTCCTGCCTTTTCTTTGTCATCTGCTCTCATTTTGCCATCCTCACTGAGTAGTTGAACTCCCTTCTCTTTCCTCTGTGTTTCGCTTTGTACATATCTGAAGTAGGCTGGCCTCAGTTCATTCCCAGCTTTAGCCTTTCTGATGCCGACCCTGCAATTGCGTGCTACCTGCCTGCATTCTTCCTTTGGAGCCTGGCCTCCCTTCCACTTCCTGCATGTGTCTTGTTTTGTTTTCAGAACCTCCCTAAGCTCTCTTTGAAGCCGCACGGGTTTCTTCTGCTGTCTTCTACCCTTTTCCCTTGTTGGAATTGCTTGTAATTATGCCTTTAGAATTTCCTTTTAAAAAATCCGCACCCATCTTACACTCATTTTCTCATTAGAGTCACTTGACATGGGACATTGCTTACCACTGTCCTGAGTTCATTAAAATGGGCTTTCCTTCCTGAGAATCAAGAGCGCACGAGAGGCGTGGCCATTTCCCCCAGAGCTCCTGTAGCTGCCACTTTGTCCACCAGGCTTCTCTGTGGGTTGGTATCAAGTCAAGGGCAGCTGCTCCTCTTGTTCACTCCTCCACTTTCTGTAGGAGGAAGTTATCAGCAGTGCATGTTAGGAACCTCTCACGTTTGGCAGAATATCTGCCAACAGACACTGGGGAAACTGAAGTCCCTCATAATGAAAACACGCCTCCTTGAAGCACTGGCAATTTGCTTTTCTAAGGTTTCGTCCTCATCTGCTCCTTGACTGGGTGGTCAGTAACAGACTCCAGCCACTGTTCTCCTTTTATTCTGTGCTCCAGGTATATTAATCCAGATGCTCTCAGTGGGAGAATGGGGCACCTGCTTGGTTTAATCATGGACTTTTAGGTTCACTTTAAAAAAAGACATTCTCTGGTTGATGATCGTTGTCTCCCAATGGTATTAGAGTGAAGTCAGATAATGTGACCAGGAGATATGCAGAAAAGCAAATGTAACAGGTAGTGCTAGTGAAGAAAAAAGCTCCCATTGATATCACCAGGCAATCTCCTATTAGTTTGTAGTTAATTTTATACAAGAATGTTATCTCCTCCTCCTCCTCCTCCTCCTCTGTTCCCATAGTAACTGCCAAGAACTCATCGTTATTAACAATTCTTGCCTTAAGTTCCCTAGCTAAAATTATGGCTACGTGGGGATAAGGTACTTATAGTGACTCAACCGGTCTAGAAAGAGGATCCCAATAGGAAGCCTTAAAATGTCTTAACAGGATGTAGCGTTTGACTGCAGGTGTGATGAGTCTGCTTGCTTTAGGCCTGGAAGCCTCCCCATTACATCCAGACACACTAACTCTACCTGCGCTTCTGAAGTGGCACAACGTGACCAGCCGACTTCTGCCTTGCTTTCATGTTTTACATGCAGTGCAAATCAGGACCAAACATTGTCAGTTGGGCTGGCAGCTCATCCCATCCTTCTTGATGATCCATATCCCTGCGTGCAAATCATATTCTATGTTTCCTGTGATTTGGAGGAACTAAACCTCCCATCATCTCCTGCATAAGATGCCCCACCTGCAGTGTTCCAGGATAGGCTGCCAAGGTTGGCTGCTTTGGTGAGAAAGAGATGGGTCCAGAATGTGCCTGCTCTTGGTGCAGTAGGTCTGCAGCAGAGTGGGAGCAAGGAGGCTGGAGACGCGTGGCAGGCCTTCTCTCCGAACGATACATTATGGGATGCTGCATCTGGTCAGCTCAGCACCGGAATACCCTTTTTGGGTCCCAGTTGTCTGCAGTGCAGAAGGAAGGCTGCCCTTCCAGCCACCCTCGGCTGCCTGTGTGGCACCTTGAATGCAAGGAGGTGTCGTGCCTAGCAGCTCGACAGAGGTGTTGGCATGCGAGAGGGGGCCAGAAGCTCACA